GCTCCGGCCAGCAGAAGAGCTTCTGCCAGGTTTGACACAATGAATCTGCTCCATTGAAACATTTCTTCTTCGGCCTCAGTTCTTGCTGTCGACCATACGTAAAAAGCAGACACAAGGCAAATAACCTCAAAGCCATTCAAACAATTTCTGCCTGCTGGACAAGACTGGAGGCTCTATTCGCTCCACGACAGTTAGCTATGGTAAAGATCTGTAGACTTCGGTTGACTCATGTGGCCAGTACCAAGTATTCCTCCTCTTGCAACATCAGTACTAGCCTACAGTGTACTCCATAAACAAGTCACAGGTCTCCTTTCTGACAGAAAAGGATAGAGAACAAGTTATCTTCTCAAACTCCTTTAGCATGAGAATCAGGATGAGGCAGCCCTTTCAGGAAAACACAGGGATCGATCCTTGTCATGTATATGGAAAAGGTTACGAGATTCCATTACCGACCTGCTGCCTAGGTGCTGAAAACAAAAACTGTTTTGACATTTAACAAGGAGCATAAATAGGATATTTATTACAGAATCACAGTATGGCTGAGGCTGGTTAGAAGGGGCCTCTGCAGGTCATGTGGTCGAAACCCCTTATCGAGCAGGACAACCCAGAGCTGGTTGCCCAGAACCATATCCAGATGGCTTCAGAAGATCTCCAAGGAGGGAGACTCCACAACCTGCCTGGGCAACATGTGCCAGTGCCCGGTCACCCTCACAGTGAAGTGTTTCCCGATGTTCAGAGGGAACCTCCTGTATTTCAGTTTTGTGCCCATTGCCTCTGGTCCTGTCACCAGGCACCACTGAGCAGAGCCTGGCTCCATCCACCTTGCACCCTCCCTTCAGGTATTTATGTACATTGATGAGATCCCCCTGAGACTTCTCTTCTCCAGGCTGAACAATCCCAGCTCTCTCAGCCTTTCCTCATAGGACAGGTGCTGCAGTCCCTGCACCATCTTTGTGGCCCTTTGTTGGACTCTCTCCAGTATGTCCTTGTCTCTCTTGTAGTGGGTAGCCCAGAACTGGACTCAAGACTCCAGCTGTCGCCTCACCAGTGCTGAATAGTGCTGTCTGTTATTGGCATATAGCAGAATGCACAGAGGAAAATAAAAGACAATTCAAAAATATACTTAAATTTACACTTCAAAAAAATAAAACAATGGTCTTAATGTTACTCTGTAGAACACTGTCATGGTTTGAGCCTACCCAGCTGGCTCCAAAAGCACCACGCAGGCCCCCCGCAGCCACTCGCTCACCGCTACCCTGTCAGGGGATGCGGAGAAGAAAATGCAACCAAAAGGGCTTGAGGTTCGAGACAAAGGACAGGGAGGGCTCACCCACCAGTTATGGTCATGGGCAAAAGACAGGCTCAACTTGTGGAGAATAACATACATTTAATGAACAACCACCACCATC